AGTATTCGGGGTATTACTAAAAGAGAATTCTATTGACATGGGAATTGGGGCTTATAAAAATTGAATGGATTTTTTTTTCTAGTTCAGGTTTAACGCTAAAACCTGGCTGTTTGCTATAGGTAATACCTTTAATTTCTTTTACTTAATTCTTTGTTGACAGAATTCTCACTTTAGCAAATATTTTTCTTTTACCTGGGCTTATTTATTAAAGCAAAGCATTTTTTTTACTATGGTGAGTGATTAAATATAAAAGATTGAGAGGTGTTACTGCCATTTGCACTTTGCTCCAATGCCTTAATAAAGAAGCCCACATATATTTGAAGCTAGCTGGGAAATGATAGCTGGATTTTGTAACATGCAATTATCCCCTAATAACCCTCGTAGCTATAGTAATCCTTTTAACATTAAAAGTAATGCTGAGAACGACAAACAAAAATTCAAAATCCCCCCTTCATAATAATCTAATCAGAGTGGTCATCACGAAGTGGTTCTTTCTTATAATCTGCAATACTGGAATTTAGAGGTTTGTGTTTATGTTCAGAGACAACCATTTTAACTATTACTATGCTCCAGTGATCAGTGCTTCAAATCCAGGCAGTTATGGTACTCTTGGCACAGAGGTGTTATTGAGATAATTGGCCAGTCCATGAAAACAGATGTCATGGTAATATTTAATTGTGTGCAGCCAGTTCAGAGATATCTGAACATCGCCACTGTGTTTTGGTGCATTAAGGCATATTGACCACTGATCTGGGTTAATAGTAGGGAACTAAACTGAGACAGAGAAGACATATAGGGAGGGATTTGACTATGGAGGATGTATAATGACGGAAGAATCATGGAGAGGTCTAGCCAGGCCTAGGAAACAAAAAACAAAAGAGAGTTAGTGAGATAAATGTCATCTCATTAACACATTCTACAACCTAAATAAAGGGTGAGTTCACATTTACTCATGTTTCCCAAATAGTTCTCCATGCACCACAGTGCCCCAAAGATATAAGCTGTGCTCTGTTTTCAATTAAATGACCACCTCTTACCTTTTCAGGTGCTGACACCATTGTCCTCCCCAATCTGTCCGGCAGATGGCAAAATGCACCCAGGCCTGGAAATCAATATAGAAGCACTGACAGCCTCCCTCCCAACCAGTGCATACACAGTTCACTCCCTCTCACAGCTCAGCATTCTGCAAATAAAGGAGAGTGGACCGTGCATGTGAAGGATGCTGGGAGTGCTCGTTTGTGGAATTCTGTTGAATTTACTGTGTGTATCCTGCCATCTGCAGGACAGATTGGTGAGCAAAATGGTGTCAGACACTCCTGAGGTGGGTGCTTGTTTGGGAGCAGTCGCATTTTTAATATATTGGGGACACTATGGTGCATGGGGACATTTTTGATGGGTAAACGACGAACTTACCATTTAAATATTTTATCAGTCCGCCCAAAAGAAATATATTAACTTCAGGCGCAACCTGGTGGATTAAATCCCCCAGAGATATAAGAAATTGGTGATTTAACACGGCAACATCCAACAATAATTGAAATGTCAGTTTTGGGTGGACTGGCCCTATATGTAATCATGTTAATTGACGAACAGAGCTGTAGTTTACTTGGTACACATTACACTTTGATTCAGTACTGCAAATACTGCAGCAGGCAACACATTCTACCACCAAGACAGATAACACAAACATACACTTGCTCTTGTCATTATGTCAGATTATAAAATGCAACTAATTAATTCATATTTACTTTTATACTGACGTAAAATGTAATCTCTCTTATTTTTCTGTACTTTGTTTCCTATTTTCCTAACTAAAGAACTTGTATTTTTAGTTCATTCATTTCTGGACATAGTTGGGGGAAGCCCATACAGGCACTGCACCATGTTTCAATATTACAAGTACAGTGGGGCAAAAAAGTATTTAGTCAGCCACCAATTGTGCAAGTTCTCCCACTTAAAAAGATGAAGGAGGCCTGTAGTTGGCATTATAGGTAGACCTCAACTATGAGAAACAAAATGAGAAAAAAAATCCAGACAATCACATTTGGCTGATTTGGAAAGAATTTATTTGCAAATTATGGTGGAAAATAAGTATTTGGTCAATATCAAAAGTTCATCTCAATACTTTGTTATATATCCTTTGTTGGCAATGACAGAGGTCAAACGTTTCCTGTAAGTCTTCACAAGGTTGGCACACACTGTTGCTGGTATGTTGGCCCATTCCTCCATACAGATCTCCTCTAGAGCAGTGATGTTTTGGGGCTGTCGCTGGGCAACACGGACTTTCATCTCCCTCCAAAGGTTTTCTATGGGGTTGAGATCTGGAGACTGAAATGCTTCTTACAAAGCCACTCCTTCGTTGCCCGGGCAGTATGTTTGGGATCATTGTCATGTTGGAAGACCCAGCCACGTTTCATCTTCAATGCCCTTGCTGATAGAAGGAGGTTTGCACTCAAAAGCTCACGATACATGGCCCCATTCATTCTGTCCTGTACATGGATCAGTCGTCCTGGTCCCTTTGCGGAGAAACAGCCCCAAAGCATGATGTTGCCACCCCCATGCTTCACAGTAGGTATGGTGTTCTTTGGATGCAACTCAGCATTCTCTCTCCTCCAAACACGACGAGTTGTGTTTCTACCAAACAGTTCTATTTTGGTTTCATCTGACCATATGACATTCTCCCAATCCTCTTCTGGATCATCCAAATGCTCTCTAGCAAACTTCAGACGGGCCCGGACATGTACTGGCTTAAGCAGGGGGACACGTCTGGCACTGCAGGATCTGAGTCCCTGGCGGCGTAGTGTGTTTACTGATGGTAGCCTTTGTTACGTTGGTCCCAGATCTCTGCAGGTCATTCACTAGGTCCCCCCGTGTGGTCCTGGGATTTTTTGCTCACCGTTCTTGTGATCATTTTGACCCCACGGGGTGAGATCTTGCGTGGAGCCCCAGATCGAGGGAGATTATCAGTGGTCTTGTATGTCTTCCATTTTCTAATTATTGCTCCCACAGTTGATTTGTTCACACCAAGCTGCTTGCCTAATGCAGATTCAGTCTTCCCAGCCTGGTGCAGGTCTACAATTTTGTTTCTGGTGTCCTTCGACAGCTCTTTTGTCTTCACCATAGTGGAGTTTGGAGTGTGACTGTTTGAGGTTGTGGACAGGTGTCTTTTATACTGATAACAAGTTCAAACAGGTGCCATTGATACAGGTAATGAGTGCAGGACAGAGGAGCCTCTTAAAGAAGAAGGTACAGGTCTGTGAGAGCCAGAAATCTTGCTTGTTTGTAGGTGACCAAATACTTATTTTCCACCATAATTTGCAAATAAATTCTTTCCAAATCAGCCAATGTGATTGTCTGGATTTTTTTTCTCATTTTGTCTCTCATAGTTGAGGTCTACCTATGATGCCAATTGCAGGCCTCTCTCATCTTTTTAAGTGGGAGAACTTGCACAATTAGTGGCTGACTAAATACTTTTTTGCCCCACTGTATATCTAGTAGCCTACGCTTCCATTGGTGTGCCCTGATCTACTGCACAAGGGTAGGAGTGAGCTGATTGAGCCATGATGAGACCATAACACACAAACACCTATGCAACTTGCTTCTGTTCATTGAAACAACCCAATATAGACAACTAGACATGCAACGAAACTGTGGAAATGTCTCAGGACATTCATTAATGGAGTAACTTGGGATGCTGCACGAGTCCCATCATGCTTTAGGGCTCTGGCAGTTTTGCAAGTGTTCACAGTAACCAACTGCCAATTTCATTTTATTTGATAGTTGCAAGTCAGAAAGAAAGTGAGTGGTTGCTATGGACATAGTGCAAAGGTTACAACATTAAAATGCATATGAATAAATGAATAGGCTCCTATAATTAAAACCTTGTTCTTAAAGCGGAGTTCCACCCATTTTTTAAAGTGCATCTCTGTACATTGTACCTGTTTTGTAAAGCATAATTTGGATAATTCTTTTTTCGGTATTATAAAAACCTTTCAATCCTTTTTTAGGACTGCAGTTCCAGTCCTGGCCACCTAGGCAATGACGTTGTAAGGCAAATCGCAAGGTCTCCTGAGATGTCGTGTCTTATATCCCAGGAGTCCTTTGGGTTTCCTAGTGATTTAATATCGCAGTACTTCGAAACCGGTACTTCGCACAGGCGCGAGATCGAGTGGTGGGATAGCCAGCCGCACCAATTCCAGGAAGTAAAGACCTGCGGGTTTTAGATGCCCACAGCCATCATTGCGCCTGCCTGCTTCCGAGATCCAGGTAAAGTTTAACTTACTTGAAAGTAATTACAAAGCTATTACTAAAACTTTATCCATTTGATAATGCTAACGGAAAGGAAATCCTGGGTCTGATTTTTAAAAAAAATTATTCTGGGGACTGGAGCTCCGCTTTAAAATATCTACAGCTGTAAATACAGTAAAGACCAAAAAATCATTAACAAGCCCGCTACACTGTAGGGACAATTAGACATATGTCTTGTACTAAAGGGCTGAAATATAGCCTGAGGTTACATTAAGGATAGTTAAAGGATGATGGAAAATAATTTTTAAAATTGACTGATATTCTTCTATTTATCATACATACTTTTTTGTTGATATCTTAAACCAAAATGTATAAGAAAAAATATCCAACCGTAGTAATCTCAAAACAAGACCCTGGACACCAAAGGAAACAACTGACCTACACTCAAGCAATGATTACAAGGTGTAAAGAATGGAAGCCGAACAACGTTTGCTATTAGATCACCAGAGGTGCAGAGGTGGATCCTTGAAATGCTGTGCTCCCACATTATATAAGTTGCTGCATTGAGTCATCGAAAATGTGAGCTTTCCATTCATCCCACGTCATACTAGATCATTCTACTCATTCTTTCCTACACTACTGCGTACTGTAGCTGTGTGTCACTTTAAAAAAGGCCCTACCCTGTGATCTTTCCATTTACTTTTCCTTTATCAGTACGAAAGACATACAATGACATCCTACGATGAAGTGATTTAGTATGTGGCAGACATTAGTACTGTGACCCACTTGTACAGTGGCTGCAGCTGAAGGTGTGAGGTCTTCATGGGAGCCTGATATCCATAGGAATCATAGGAGCCAATGAAATCAACTGCAAAATAAAAAAGACAATTCATTATGTGCTGATAAAAATACTGTTCTATCATTTAATATTATTAGAATATAAGTATTGCTAGCAGAGGCCTAGTGCATGACAGAGCCTATAATAAATGGCCAGTTGTATGTTGATTGCTTAGTGCTATACTCGAGGGACAACTGCAGTATTGTTTTAAAAAAAAAGATATAATATTCAGTTGCTAAACAAATCATATTGTAATTCATTGCTATTATAAATCGGATTTCCATTTGAATCTGCTATAGCTATAACCTTCTACAAGTGCCGATAATTGACATTTCTCTTCCTTACACCCATGGCAATAGTACTCTGTAGGCAAGACTTCCCAGAATTCTCATCTGTGTAATTACCTAACTACTATTTCTATGACTCACAGACAGCAGGCATCCCCAAAAAATGTCCCTGATGTTTCAGCAATAAGCAATTATTCCTATTTAGATTGTCATGGAAATTTTGTATTGTTGGTCGAACTTTAAATGTGTCATATATTCGTGTTATTCATATGTCTCTCGTGTGGCTTAATTAAGGCTGCAATTGGGCCATGCGCATGTACAATGTATGTATTACAGTACTCAGCTCGGTAATGGATGAGATGGCAGATCTGCGCTTATAGACCTGCGTGTATACCACCACGGCATTCGATGCAAATGCCGCTGGCAGTAGACCGTGGGCCTGTATCCACATATCAGCAGCATAGTACCACATGGACTCCGTGCCGCAAGGCGCCAAGCGGTACGAACTCCGCGTGTAGGCTTATGCATATCTTACAACCCATTACCAATCTGAACTGTATCCGGATGGATGTGTTTTAATAAAGATCGTATCGGGCCCATCCAGGTACAGACTGATATTTCTAGGGAATGCTTGTACAGAGAATGAACATACTGCTAGGAGCTGGAACAAGAGAACAATAGAGGGCTCATGGGGGGAAGGGGAGGAGATATGCTCTCCACAGAGGGCTCATGGGGGGAAGGGGAGGAAGTCTGCTGACCTCAGAAGGCTCATGGGGGAGGACCAGTGACAGATAATAGGAAAGGCTATGCTCCAATCGGAATGTACATCCTGTGTATAGGCACTCCCCATGCATTGTTCTGTGGGAGGGGTTTGACCTTATTCATGTGGGGGGGCGTGTGTGTATTTGTAATAAAACCAAAGGGGAGAATGAAAATTGCCCTTATGTGAATTCAACCATCAACCTGAAAGTGTCGTGTGATCATTTCCAGGTATAGGGAGCTCCAATCACCCACATTTCAACAGAAGCTAACCCATTTGGATGGGCAGGAATCGTGTAGTTTAGCTGCAGTCGTGGTAAGTGAGATTCGCACAGCTTTATGGGGGATTTCTGCGCATCCAACTGCGAGTACTCACGGTAAGGAGAAATTCGTTAAAGCGAATTTCCAAGACAAGATGTGGTATATATAGTGAGCGCTCCTTAAACTAGCCGCTGAAACACCAAAAGGTAACCAAAATAAACCTCCAAAAATGAATCAATATAAGTATAGGTGCAGCGCTAATAAATAAATAAATATAATAAATGAATATATCCAATAATAAAAGTAAATAATGCATAAAAGAGTCCGGTGATATGAAAATATATTAAATTAGTTTATGTGGTAAATCCAAAGGGTAATAAATTCAACAGCACATATTGCGTAGACTTGTGATAGGAACCAGTAGTAAAAGTGCGCACTCACCGGATGCGCATAGATAATACGCATATAATATTATAACCACCAGGATATCTCTAGATAGGCGGGACTAATAGGTGAACTTCCATCTATGGAATGGTCATCAAGCCTTGGGAAATAGTTAGACCGTCTGTCTCCCCTCTGATGATGTGCCATTGCACGAAAGGCCTTAGGAGGAACCTGACAGAGCGTAACGTCACTGCTGCCGGAGCTACGAGGAAGCCCGGTGGCCATCTTTTTTAGGGTTAGTGCTGCATACTCTGCATTTTATTGGAGTTTTGTACCTATACTACCCTGTGATTTTTAATCATTTGATTACCATTAAAATATTCTTGAAATACTACACCATGGCCACCTGTTTCTTGGCTCCCTATTGGAGCTATTAAACTTGCAGGTCACCCCCAATGATTTCCTACTACCAGAGGAAGGGAGCCCTGTACTCAGGTTGAGCACCTATTCATCCTTAAGGGGACCTCTGGATCCAGCAGATTCCAACTATTTCCCAAGGCTTGATGACCATTCCATAGATGGAAGTTCACCTATTTGTCCCGCCTATCTAGAAATATTCTGGTGGTTATAATATTATATGCGCATTACCTATGCGCATCCGATACCCTGGTGGTTATAATATTATATGTGCATTACCTATGCGCATCCGGTGAGTGCGCACTTTTACTACTGATTCCTGTCATAAGTCTATGCAATATCTGCTGTTGAAATGTATTACCCTTTGGATTTACCCCTTGAACTAATTTAATATATTTTCATACCACCGGACTCTTTTATGCATTAATTACTTTTATTTTTGGATATATTCATTTATTATATTTATTTATTTATTAGCGCTGCACCTATAATTATTCATATTTGGTGAACTTCTTCCCACATGGAAGAAAAATATATTTGAAATATATTTTAAAGTTATTCTTCCCAAATATATTGCCATATATTTGAAATGCTACAATTTTGGTCATAGTCAATATATTTCAAAATATATTTCAATAAATATATATACTGCATGTTGAAATGGATTTTTTATTACAAAATATATGAAAAATATTTTTAAAAATACATTTCAAATATACTGTATATCTTTAAAACTACATTTTTGGAATGCATTTAAAAATGTATGTTAAAATGACTTTTTTATATGTTAAAACAATCTGAAGAATATATTTAAAAAATATATATTAATATTAAAATAATTTTTCATATATTTTGTAATAAAAATGCATCTCAACATGCAATGTATATATATATATATATATATATATATATATATATATATATAAATTTTTTTTTTTTTTTTTTTTCAATATATAGAATATGGCCAACATTTTAGCATTTCAAAATATATGGCAATATATTTGGGAAGAATATTATATTTTTGGGTTGTCAAGGGTGATACACATCTACAAGGCGTCTTAGGTAGTGCAGTGTTTCTCAAAACGTCACTGGTCATGTACTTCACTGGTCCATGTACTTTCAGTAGACTGGCTCTCCCATACACTTGTCACTTTCAGTTATGCGGGGCATCATCCAGTTAGGAAGAGTAAGAACATCTTGTTTTTGTCAGAGAAGCACTATGGGGTAAGCACGGAAGAAAAGGGACGTGTTGCTGCCTGAGCTTTTTTTTTAAGTACAACTAAAGGCAAACTTTTTTTTTATTTAGATTTGGTTAGAATGGAGAGGGGTTCAAACCACTGCATGTTTTTATTGTGATCTGTTTCCCTGTTATTGTACCGATCATCAATGCAACTAGGAATAAATAAAATATTGAGTTTCCACCAGAGCAGGAATAGAAGAGAAATCTACCATTGGGAAACTTGTTGCTTTGACAGCTAAGATCACTTTCTTTTGAGTTTGTAGGATAGGAAGTGAAGGGAAATATTCCTAATCTCCCTTTGGGAAAAAAGAAAAAAAAAGAAAAAAAACATTTGCCATAAATTGGGATTTCAGCTAGTCACACACCAGCAGGTCTTGATGGCCCAACAATAATCTGAACCTCCAGAATTTAAGTAAAGAGCACATATTTAGATTTAGGCAGCCATGATATAAAATAAATAATGTGGAGTGTGCTGGCTTGTTCAGTTCTCTACTTTGTACACAAGTCCTGAAGAGTATTACTTACAGCTGTCTTCTTCATCCATGAAAACTTTGCTGACGTAACAGGCATAGACAAAACCGAACAGCTGTGTGCAGGAATACATGGAAGGGAAAAACAATATAATATTTATTATATTTATTTCAGGTACTTATATAGCGCTGTCAGTTTACGCAGCTTTACGTATATATTGTACATTCACATCAGTCCCTAACCCTCAAGGAGCGTACAATCTAAGGTCCCTAACTCACATTCATACACATATAAGGGCCATTTTTAGATAGGATCCAATTAACCTACCAGCATGTCTTTGGAGTGTGGGAGGAAACTGGAATATCCGGAAGAAACATATATGAGAAGACAAAAACTATAATGTATATTGAGGCACAAAATCTGGTGCAGCTGTGCATAGTAACCAATCAACTTCTAGGCATTATTGTGAAAGCTTATTTGAACAAACTGAAGTTAGAAGCTGATTGGTTACTATGAACAGCTGCACCAGATTCTGTGCACACCAGTTTTAATAAATCTCCCCCTTTGATAATATAAAACATATCCAAAAGTACACTTTAAAGGGAATTCTAAAATGTTAATGGGTTGCTATTGTTCCATGTTTTTATTATTGTGTTAAATACAGAGATTTACCGGTTCTTCCTCTACTGACCATCTATATATAAGGCATTACCCCTACTTATTGAATTGCTTATGCAAAAAGTAACTATAGATGCCCCTGATACATAACAAGGGCAGTTGATTTCAGCCATATACAGTGTATAACTTTAAATAGGTTAGAGAACAGATTATAAATCAACTTTTTGGTGTGCTCATGTCCCCCTAGACTGTATCCCACCAAATCACCATATACTGTATATCACTATACTGTGTCATTCTTCTGAAAGTAATGGTTGTCTGGCTGCCATAACCACTTGTTTTATCAATATTTTAAGTAACTGACCCAGAAAAAGTATACAGATAATGGCTTCTGACTTTTCCCTTTAAATACTTCTTCCAGGTCAGTGATTAAAAAATTATTAAACCCAGCGGATCTGCATGACAGCTAACTGCCCACATGGAAGAAAAAATATATTAGAAATATATTTAAAAAATATTCTTCCACAATATATTGACATATATTTAAAATGCTACAATTTTGCCCAAATATAAATATATATAAAAAAAAAAATATATATATATATATATATATATATATATATATACTGTATGTTGAAATGCGTTTTTATTACAAAATATCTGAAAATATTTTTAAAAATACATTTCAATTATACTGTATGTCTTTAAAAAAATACAAATCTACATTTTTGGAATGCATTTACAATATGTATATTTATATGTAAAGATGTATGTTAAAATGACTTTTTTAATATATTAGAAAAATATGAAAGAATATATTTAAAAAATATATATATTTAAAAAAAAATATACATTTTTAAAAATATTAGAAAAATATAAAAAAGTAATTTTAACATATATTTTTTTAAATATATGTGTAAATGTATTCCAAAGATGTAGATTTGTATTTTTAAAGACATACAGTATATTTGAAATGTATTTTTAAAAATATTTTCATATATTTTGTAATAAAAATGCATTTCAACATACAGTGTGTATGTGTGTGTATATGTGTGTGTATGTATGTATGTATATATATATATTTGAATATGGCCAAAATTGTAGCATTTTAAATATATGTCAATATATTTGTGAGGAATATTTTTAAAATGTATTTCAAATATATTTTTCTTCCATATGGGTGTGAAATAGCATTTTCAGAAGGTCATCAGTGAAAGGTTTATCATATCCTTTAGCCCATCTCATCTTCTATTATAAATAGAACAATAATATTAGGTTGCAATTCAGGTCACAGGTTTAAAATATTTCCAGACAAAGGGTTCTTTTAGACTACTTTCACACTGATGCAAAAACAAGGCAAAACGGATATGCATTCTTTTGCTGTATTTGTAGTGCATTTTTTACAGGACTCAAAAAACGCACCAAAAACACTATGCAGGTGAATTTTTGTGTGTGTTTTTGCTGCGTTTTCCATTGATTTCAATTGTTTTTTTTTTTTACCATGCCAAACCTGCACCAAAAATGCAGCAAGCAGTATTTAAAAAAAAAAGCGCCGGACCCGCAACGGACCAATGTGAACCATTGCAATACATGGTTACACATTTTTCTTTTGCTTTTTTTAACACAAAAGCAGAAGAAAAAAGGGATCAGTGTGAAAGCAGCCCTATGCAGGCCATACATGGTTCGAATTCCGAATGTTTTGTCTGAAAATCGAAACGTTCGTTCTTTAATCCGATGGTGCTACCAAAGATTTTGAAAAATCGGTCATTTTTCACGAATTTTCGTCTATATTCTATGCTGTGCATTACGTAGTCCTGCCTGGGTTCTATATTCTATGTTGTACATTGCATACATCTGACCCCTGCACTCTATATTCTATGTTGTACATTACACAGTCCCTATATTCTACAATGAACTTGAAAATTGTCCTGTTTCTTGGCTCATATATTCTAAATTGTAGATTACATATGTCCAAACTCTGTCTATATATTCTATGTTGTACATTACATAGTCCGGTCCCTGGCCTGTATTTTTTATGTTGTGCATTGCATACATCTGACCCCTGCACTCTATATTCTATGTTGTACATTGCACATTCGTCAGTAGGGGGCCCCATGAGATGCTCCTGGTACCTTTTTCATAGGCTTTTTTGAGTTTGGGCAAGGACACAGGGGCCCCATGATCCCCTATTGCCCGGGGCCCCATGAGTTGTCAGTCCGCCCCTGATTCGAACTATATATGGCCGGAATTAGTTATGGAAAAAGTAGGGAATGGTTACAGCCTCTGCAGTTTTTTTTTCAGTTTCCTGATGGAGAAATTTTCCTTCACTTGCTGTTCTTATGGCAATACTGACACTTTAGTAAGGGTAGATCTACAACAGGGATACATACAGCATTAGAGAGCTAATGAGGTTTCATCCTTCCCAACCCTACTAATAAAAAATGTATGTAGTGGCATAGTGTCTTGGTTAAGAGATTTTTGCCCTCCCTGTCTTACACTCATAAGTACATATGCTACTACCAGTATATAGCTGATATCCTATTAAATAGGAATGGTAGCAATAAATTACGGATCCATTTCCACAGAAATTGTAATAAACACCCTACCATTAGTCAACAAAGGGCCCACTCTGCATTATATAGTATACACTCTTTGGACTTAACTGTCCACAGCAAGAACAACACTATTCGTAGTTCCATATATTGGAAACCAACAGACAGGCTGTGTAAATCTCAGGACTGGATTGACAGAAATGTAAATCATTTGGCAGGTAAAACGCTCTCATATAAGAATTCGTTCTGCGTATTTACAGTAGCTTTGTATGAAGTTCAGCTTTAAGATTGTCTTCTTCCTAGGAAAATGTTGGGGCCTTCAGACGTTCTTGACATTTCGTTTTTCAGTGTCATTTCCGCATCATTTAAAAATGCACTTTCCAAGGCAACATTTTCATTTCAGTGTCTTCTCACAATATTATGTAACAGGATGATATCATATTATGTAAACCTGGACTGAAATTTCTCATGTAACAATCCTTGAGACATATTCTGTTGTTTATCATCGGAAATACTCACCGCTAGAAAAATCTGTAAAGCACTGCTCAGGGCCTCGATATATGGATAATCAAGAAGACATCCAGTCACTGTTACCATATGGTGATCAGCCAGTGACAAAGGGGCTGTACGAACTGGTGTCACCAGGCAGCCTGGTCCATTTTCCATCCACCATGATCGATGTAAAGAGGTGTTAAAGTTCATTATTAGGTCCCTGTGCTGTGGGAATAGCATTTACAAGAATTACTCCAAGCTTGCACAGACAACAAGAAAATACAATGTAGTATGACACTGGTAGCAGACTAAGAACCGCACATTAATATTGGAAAAAAGGAAAACTACATTTTTTTCCCATAATGACCTGTCCAGTTTCAGCCTATACATTTTAATTGCCACTTTGACAATACAAAGAAAATGTGAATGGTTGACAGTGTCAATATCTCCACAATTCATTTAACCATATCTGTATAAACAAGATTTATTTTGCAAAAAAAAATGTTTATTATTTATTTATTTCAGGTACTTATATAGCGCCGTCAATTTTACCCAGCGCTTTACATATATATTGTACATTCACATCAGTCCCTAACCCTCAAGGGGTGTACAATCTAAGGTCCCTAACTCACATTCATACATATACATACTAGGGCCAATTTAGACAGGATCCAATTAACCTACCACCATGTCTTTGGTGTGTGGGAGGAAACCGGAGTACCCGGAGGAAACCCACGCAGGCACAGGGAGAACATGCAAACTCCAGGCAGGAGGTGCCGTGGCTGGGATGTTTAAAGCTAAAGTGTTTTTCTCAACTGCTTTATGCTTCACTATTGCAGATTTCATTTGCAAGCATGCCCCATGATTAGTAACAGTCTGTATGTTCGAGTCGAACTCAAGTTCGACTCGAACATTGGCCGTTCGTGTTTGGCGAACACACGGATGGTAAGGGCGTTCAGTGGGCTATTCGCACGCTGCACCTCACAATGCACTGCACTTTCACAGTGCATTGTGATTGGCACTGCAGGTCCAAAAAAATAGCAGTGTTTGTATTCTTCTTTTACTGGTGTGTTTGGGGTCGTTGTCTTGTTGGAACACCCATTTCAAGGGCATTTCCTCTTCAGCATAAGGCAGCATGACCTCTTCAAGTATTCTGATGTATTCAAACTGATCCATGATCCCTGGTATGCGATAAATAGGCCCAACCAGGGGCGGACTGACCATTCGAGCACTCGGGCACTGCCCGAGGGCCCTGGGTCAGTAGGGGGCCCCATGAAATGCCCCTGGTACCTTTTTATAGGCTTATTTTGAGTGTGGGCAAGGACACAGGGGCCCCATGACCCCATATTGCCCTGGGGCCCCATGAGTTGTCAGTCTGCCCCTGGGCCCAACACCGTAGTATGAGAAACATCCCCATGCTTCACTGTCTTCACAGTGTACTGTGGCTTGAATTCAGTGTTTGGAGGTCGTCTGACAAACTGTCTCCGGCCACTAGACCCAAAAAAAAAAATCTTACTTTCATCAGTCCACAAAATGTTGCGCCATTTCTCTTTAGGCCAGTCAATGTGCTCTTTTATTGTAACCTCTTCAGCACATGTCTTTTTTTCAACAGTGGGACTTTGCGGGGGCTTCTTGCAGATAGCTTGGCTTCACATAGCCGTCTTCTAATTGTAACAGTACTCACAGGTAACTTTAGACCTTCTTTGATCTTCCTGGAGATGATTGTTGGCTGAGTCCTTGCCATTTTGGTTATTCTTCTATCCATTTGAATGGTAGTTTTTCACTTTCTTCCACGTCTTTCAGGTTTTGGTTGCCATTTTAAAGCATTTGCGATCATTTTAGCTGAGCAGCCTATCATTTTCTGCACTTCTTTATATGTTTCCCCTCTCCAATCAACTTTTTAATCAAGGTACGCTGTTCTTCTGAACAATGTCTGGAACGACCCATTTTCCTCAGAATTTCAGAGAGAAATGCACTGTAACCAGCATGTACAACATTTGCTGCCTTCCTTCCTTAAATAAGGGCAATAATTGCCACCTGTTTTTCAAAGAATGAATGACCTCACTAATAGAACTCCACACTGCTATTATTTTGAACATGCCCCTTTCAATTAGTGATTAAATTACACAGAATCAGCAGCATGCATGTCATGACTGTTGGTCTGTTGGATTTCTATTACTCTACTACACCTGCTAGTAAATTATTTGCCATGTAGAAATATCATTTCTACCAAAAACAGTGATTGATCAGGTTAGTGATGTCTGACTGCTATTATTTTGAACACAACTGTACATTCCAGGCAAGTGACCTACCAAGGAGTAAAAGCAGGATGAAGGGTGAAAGCCCTAGAATCTGCAATCTTTAAAAGCAAGCCAGCAATAGAAATCTTTAACATTGCTGTTTTGAAAGGTTACCCTTAATGTGAATAACCTTTTACATATATGTTTAAGTTTTTTTTTTTTTTTTTTCTAGATAGTTTATTAATCTTGAATTTCTTTACATCGCGATATGAGGTATTGCTTTTTTATATTTTCATAGTGTGCTTCACTTTATCAGACAGCTTCTATTTAAGTGATTTCTCGATATCCCCAGTGTATGCTGGTCTGGTGAAGATGGTGATAGCGGGGTGAAACCAAGAATGGACCTGTCAGTGTTGAAAGAGAGCAAACCCAGAGTCAAGTCTGTCTTGAAGTGCAAGTATGCTGTGCATATTTCCACACTATGGCATGAACACCTCACATCATAGCTAGGTTAAGTTCTGTTTTAATTACTTCTTGCATCAGAAAAAAGTTGCAAATATTACATATAGAGTGTATAAAAAAGTTTGAAACTTAAGTTATTTTTGCATCTCACTTTGCCCACTGTCAAAAAGACCTTAAAGTAGCCTCTATGTACTTCTCTGTCATCCAGAGCACTCACCCTTGGGGTCTAGCAGGGGCAGTGATTCCCTACTACTTCTATGTGTCTCCAGAGCACTCACCCTTGGGGTCTAACAGGGGCAGTGATTCCCTACTACTTGTCTCCAGAGCACTCACCCTTGGGGTCTAGCAGGGGCAGTGTTCCCTACTACTTCTATGTGTCTCCAGAGCACTCACCCTTGGGGTCTAGCAGGGGCAGTGATTCCCTACTACTTCTATGTGTCTCCAGAGCACTCACCCTTGGGGTCTAACAGGGGCAGTGATTCCCTACTACTTCTACTTGTCTCCAGAGCACTCACCCTTGGAGTCTAGCAGTGGCAGTGATTCCCTACTACTACTTCTACCTGTCTCCAGAGCACTTCACCCTTGGGGTCTAATGGGGCAGTGATATCTCCCTACTACTTCTACACTGTCTCCAGAGCACTCACCCTTGGGGTCTAACAGGGAAGTGATTCCCTACTACTTCTACATGTCTCCAGAGCACTTACCCTTTGGGTCTAATGGGGCAATGATTCCCTACAACTTCTACATGTCTCCAGAGCACTTACCCTTGGGGTCTAATGGGGCAGTGATTCCCTACTTCTACATGTCATCCAGAGCACTCATCCTTTGCGGTCTAATGGGGCAATGATTCCTTACTACTTCTACATGTCTCCAGAGCACTCACCCTTGGGGTCTAACAGGGGCAGTGATTCCCTACTACTTCTACACATGTCATCCAGAACACTCACCCTTGCGGTCTAATGGGGCATTGATTCCTTACTACTTCTACCTGTTGTGGTCTGGCAGGGACAGTATTTAACTACTATTCCGCCATAAAGCAAAGACCAAGAACTGCAGCTGACAGAGGCAGTAATACCTTTTTGTGTAATTATAATTCTTTTATTCAAAAAGCAGCTTGGCAAGTGTATAGTGGTTTATAAAGGTAAAGGTATGGTGGCACTAGCACTACTGTACCATGCCTTTCGATAAAGTTTCTTTCTACATGTCACAGTGGAGGTATCATCAAAAGAAATATTACTTTACAATATGATGGATCAGAGCACTGCAAAGCTTTACTAAAGACAGAAAAACATAAAATTAACTGTATATAACTAGCCAAAGAGATTTCAGCTACAAGCTTCTGAAACAGCTTATCACCCTTCCACATCTCACAGTACATTTTCATATTGTTATACTGTACACAGGTAGTGAGGTGTGGGGGGAGCAACGCTATGTCACCCTAACAGATTATTAATTGCATTCAGTACACTACAAATTATATCATACCTGTGATAAATGTCCCACTTCCAGGTAGAAACAGATTATAAATGCATTCCATGCCACCCATAATGCTAGCCAAACTGAATACTGTATGGGAATATTAAAAGATAAGGTAGAGAATTAGAGACGTAGCATTTTTACACTCAAAATGCCATTAACAAATGCAGAACTAAAATTAAACAGGAGCATAAAAAACAACAGAATCATTCTAGTGACTTAGGGAAGGGTTAGAACCTTTTTCAGGCTTTCCGCTCTGCAGATTCTTCTTGCTTCCTTTGTGGTCATCTAAATGGGAAATGAGGATAAGGGGAATTGCCTGTGAGTTCAAGGCTGCTCTGTCCCAACAAAATTAAACAAGAAAAAATATCCCCCTGGGACATTTTTGCAGCCAAAAGAATAGCAACCATAAGAAATATAAATTAAAAAAAAATCACATTTTACTATACACTAATCAAAAAAAATTAAAGGAACAATTTTTAATCAGAGTATAGCATCAAGGCAATTAAACTCCTGGGATATTGATCTGGTCAGTTAAGTAGCAGAGGGGGTTCTTAATCAGTTTCAGCTGCTTTGGTGTTAATAAAATTAAAAAACACATGCACTAGATGGGCAACAATGAGACAACCCCCAAAACAGGAATGGTTTTACAGGTGGAGGCCACTGACATTTTTTCCCTACTGATCTTTTCTGACTGATTTTCACTAGTTTTGCATGTGGCTAGGGTCAGTGTCTCTACTGGTAGCATGAGGTGATACCTGAACCCTACAGAGGTTGCATAGGCAGTCCAACTCCTCCAGGATGGCACATCAATACGTGCCATTGCCAGAAGGTTTGCTGTGTCTCCCAGCACAGTCTCAAGAGCATGGAGGAGATTCCAGGAGACAGACAGTTACTCTAGCAGAGCTGGACAGGGCCGTAAAAGGTCCTTAAACCATCAGCAGGACTGGTATTTGCTCCATTGTGCAAGGAGGAACAGGATGAGCACTGCCAGAGCCCTACACAATGACATTAAAAACACAAAATATTTTGTACTACATACTCTGGTAATTAATGTAGATGACACAGATTTCCAGTCATGAAATTAATGTTTTGCTTAAAAAAAGTCATTTTCTATATACCTCTATATCGTATTGTTTGATTGTTTAGGCACCTTCACCACTAGGCCCTGATGAAGATCATTTGATAATCAAAATGCGTTGGAGGTCTGTGGTTTACAAGAATTTTGCCTTATATGCATTGATGTTCCATATGCACATTGTTGTGAAAAGGCATTACATTTGCATGTATAGAGACCAGAGCTTTTTCCTAATTTTTATAATTTTGTAGAATAAAATTTTATTTTTTATTTATATTTCTTGTGGTTATTATCCTTTTGGCTGCAACAAAGTTACAGGGGAGATATTTTTTCTTGCATACTCTCCCCAGTGGAAGCACAGGCAACAGTGAGGACCTGATATAGTTTGTAGCCCTTCTCTACTTTATACTAAACTTTAAAAAAGGTCGTTTGGATGGAATTAAGCTTGAAGTTTTATTGAATTATGTCTATGTGATAATTCTGTAGCGTACCAAGCTGTATATTTTAAACATGGATCTATACTCAAATGTTAACAGTCTTCCTGACAATGATAAATGTAAGGGAATAACTATTTGCTGCTGATCTTTGTAAAAATGAATGATCAGAGTCCGAATCCCATTCTAGCAGGACTGTTAGTATAGACATCTGAATACACTGCAAATCTGCTTTTAAAAGTATTAGCTTGGTGTGCACGGACCTAGTGATATTAGATGATTGTCAAGTTTTAAGTGATTTCCACTACTATGATACTTGGAGAAAGTCATTGAGTGATACAATGTATCTATGTATTGTGACATTGTATTTACTATGATACTTGGAGAAAGTCATTGAGTGATACAATGTATCTATGTATTGTGACATTGTATTTACTATGATACTTGGAGAAAGTCATTGAGTAATACAATGTATCTATGTGTTGTGACATTGTATTTACTATGATACTTGGAGAAAGTCATTGAGTGATACAATGTATCTATGTATTTTGACATTGTATTGTATTGTATTCAGTGCAGAATGAACTGCACTCCTGTAATCCACAGGAAAAGAACAGCCAAACAAGCTTTGGCTCTACCTCTCCTTTAAATAATATGAGTTCCTATTTAACTGCTTATTGACCCTAATTATCCTCAGTTAACTATTTCTTCCCCCTCTCTCCTCAGCTATTATTTTTCTATTTTTGTTTCTATTTATTTACCAATAAAATATCAACATTTTAAAGTTAATTTTCAGTCATTTCAATTTTGTTTGATATTTTGTTTTCAGTGTTCTTAAAAAAAGGACTTTTATTTATTATCACCGAATTATAGTGGTTGTAAAGGCTCAAGGTTTTTTACCTTCATGCATTTTATGCATGAAGGTAAAAAACCTTTTGTTTGCTGCAGCCCCCCCCCCCCCCCCCCCCCTTACACTTTCCTGAGCTCCATTGTGACCCAGCAATGTGCTTGAGAGCCTCAATAAGTATATACATCTACTTAACAACATTCAGTATCTACTACCTATATCCTTACTGTTGTATATGGACTGTTGCCTTTATATATGGACTAGTTCATCTGCGATGTGGCATTGAATGGCTTGGAAACATTCAGCTTGGATTTATACCCTTTGGATGCATCATTATATGAGGGAGGTTATTTGTGTTCACTGCTCTAATCCTCCCCTGGATGATGCTTATTTCAGACGTCTGAGAATGGTGAAGGAAATTTGTGCCATTTTGGTTTCATCCCCTGAACCACATCCATCTGAAAAGGCATTGGCATCAGTTGGGATCCCAATATTATACAGTCTCTATTGGAACATTGTTCACTTATATATCCACATAGTGTATGAGGGAGGTTCAATACGGAAATATCCATAATATAATATCTATATTCTGACTCAACTACACGCTGTGACTGTATATGGAGACCCCTTTTTTTTCATGCACCAAGCTGTATCCCCCAAGGGGCACTTTTCCAAGATGGATCCACCTAGATGAGTCCAATTGGTCAACTGAGAAATCCATAATACATTTAACCAGACAGGCTGAATAGTGTTTAATGACTGTACAATTTATAATTCATCCACAAGATATTTGGCATCCAAAAACCTTTTGTTGTGAATTGCTGGAGGTCCATTGAGATGTTTTTTAAAAAGAGTATCTTTGTATGTATATGTCTATGTTTGTATAATTAAAGTATTTATATAGCTTTGACCACCTATTTATGATTCATGTTGACGGATATCATAAAAACCCACAATTCCTGGTTGAGTCCATAACTATTTTTGTCTTTCTTCTTTTTTGGAGTATCAGTATCAGTTACAGTATCTCCCAGAAGTGAGTCCATCGCTCACATTTTTGTAAATATTTTATTCTATCTTTTCATGTGACAACACTGAAGAAATGACACGTTGCTACAATGTAAAGTAGTGACTGTACAGCTTGTATAGCAGTGTAAATTTGCTGTCCCCTCAAAATAACTCAACACACAGCCATTAATGTCTAAACCGCTGGCAACAAAAGTGAGTACACCCCTAAGTGACAATGTCCAAATGGGGCCCAAAGTGTCAATATTTTGTGTGGCCACCATTATTTTCCAGCACTGCCTTAACCACTGCCTTGCTAAAGAAGCTGAGGGTAAAGGTGATGGACTGGCCAAGCATGTCTCCAGACCTAAACTTTATTGAGCATCTGTGGGGCATCCTCAAATGGAAGGTGGAGGAGCGAAAGGTCTCTAACATCCACCAGCTCTATGATGTCATCAGAGGGTTACTCTTGGGCATGGAGTTCACCAGAGCTTCACAGGTTGCCACTTGTGTCCTCTTCCACTCCTCCATGATGACATCATGGAGCTGGTGGATGTTAGAAACCTTGCGCTCCTCCACCTCCCATTTGAGAATGCCCCAAAGATGCTCAATAGGGTTTAGTCCTGGAGACATGCTTGGCCAGTTCATTAACTTTACCCTCAGCTTATTTAGCAAGGCAGTGGTCATCTTGGAGGTGTGTCTCTGAAGGGAGGGGATCATGCTCTGCTTCAGTATGTCACAGTACATGTTGGCATTCATGGTTCCCTCAATGAACTATAGCTCCTCAGTGTCAGCAGCACTCATGCAGCCCCAGACCATGACACTCCTACCACCATACTTGACTGTAGGCAAGACACACTTGTCTTTGTACTCCTCACCTGGTTGCTGCCACACACGCTTTACACCATCTGAACCAAATCATTTTATTTTAGTCTCATCTGACCACTGGACATGGTTCCAGTAATCCTTGTTCTTAGTCTGCTTGTCTTCAGCAAACTGTTTGATGGTTTTCTTGTGCATGACCTTTAAAAGAGGCTTCATTCTGGGACTAATTTAATGCAGTGTGCGGCGTCAGGGGCGGACTGACCATTTAGGCACTCGGGCACTGCTCGAGGGCCCCGGGTCAGTAGGGGGCCCCACGAGATGCCCCTGGTACCTTTCATAGGCTTTTTTGGGTGTGGTTTGAGTGTGGGCGAGGACACAGGGGCCCCATGATTTCCTATTGCCCGGGGCCCCATAAATTGTCAGTCCGCCCCTGTGCGGCGTATGGTCTGAGCACTGACAGGCTGACCCCTCCATCCCTTCAACCTCTGCAGCAATGACGGCAGCACTCATATGTATATTTCCCAAAGACAACCTCTGGATATGGTGCTGAGCACGTGCACTCAACTTCTTTGGTCGACAATGGTGAAGCCAGCTCTGAGTGGAACCTGTCCTGTTAAACTGCTGTATGGTCTTGGCCACCATGCTGCAGCTCAGTTTCAGGGTCTTGGCAATAGCATAAGCCATCTGTATGTAGAGTAACAATTCTTTTTTTCAGATCCTCAGAGAGTTGCCATGAGGTGCCATGTTGAACTTCCAGTGACCAGTATAAGAGAGTGAGAGCGATAACACCAAATTTAACACACCTGCTCCCCATTCACACCTGAGACCTTGTAACACTAAAGAGTGACATGACACCGGGGAGGGAAAATGGCTAATTGGGCCCCATTTGGACATTGTCACTTAG